GGCTGTGACTGTGCATTTGCAAGGGAGTGATTCATAGCTTGTAAAGCTAATCTCTTTTTTATTCAGAAATTTTGAGGACCTTATTAGGCGGGGAACATACTTTCGGTGAATTTTAAAAAAAATTACATTTTGCAAATCTATATAAAATTACTATAATATATAAACCTTTGTGGGCCTTGTAAATTTATGTAAATCTGATATTATATATAGATAAATATCTATAAAAAAAAGAATTTCAAAAAAATATATTAATTTACAATTAATTTATATAAAGTTTATATTTTAAAAAGTTTTTTAATTTGTTTATAATGATAAAAATAGGGAATTTTTAGTATTAAAACTTAATATAATTATAAAAAAATCCTAAAAAAAAAAAATCTACTATATAATTACTTTTTCTATATAAATTTAATAATAACCATGCATTTCATGTATTTTTTAGAATTTTATTATGAAAATGTTATTTATAATTTGAAAGGAATTGATGGTTTAGAAATATTTACTATTTCTCCTTATTTTTGAAAGATTTGTTAACTTTGAAACTTGTAAAGTTATTAAAAATTTTTTGATAATTTATACCATTAAATAAATTATATATTACATATAGGATTTTAAATGCAAATTAAAACTTCTAAATTTAGAAAATTTTTTACATAAAGATAAAATTTTATATCCTAGAATACTCTATTGATGTATATAACTTACAGTATATATATATATTTATTAATAGAGATAATATACAAAACATTCATTTAAATTTACAATGAACAAATTAAGAATAATAACAAAGAATTCATTTTATTGTTAAAAGCGTTGTACATGTGTAATAAAATTAAGACTTCCCGCTCAGTGGATAAACAAAATTTGGACAATATGATGTCAAATTTCTTTATGTTTCATATCTAGATTTAATATATTATTATTATTATTATAAAAAAAAAACTAAAATTAGTAATGCATAATTTTTGAAATAACGGTCTTTTCTCATGCATTTTTTTAGATTTACATACCCTAAACATTCTATAATGGCCTGTAATTTTGGACTAATAGGATTCATAATACCAGTTTGCCTTACTAAATCGGACAAAGTTTTACCAAAAACTTGAATCGTAGTCATTAAAAAATCAGGAGAATTTATGTAAGATTGACCAAAATGAGAAATACTCTGACCATTTTAAAAAGAAATGAGAGTAATTTCCAAAATAGCTCTTTCTGTATAACAAGATTTTGGATAAGAAGCAATTTTTCAAGACACAACGTGTATGATAGAAGAAAAAGTCACTTAAGCATTATTAAAAAAAAATACAGGTTTTAATTGTATAACATCAATAATAAATGACAGATTTATTAAGCACTTGAAACTGACAAATAATCTACTACCAACTTTAGAGATTATGAAAGAAAGGAGATATGATTTATATGGAGATGTAAAGTGCAGAATGTGTCTTGAAAAAAATGAAGATGATGATCATATAATCTATTGTCAGCAACTTAGAGACAAATGGTTAATGGTGGCTAATAACACTAGGCATAAATGTGACCAAATGCTTAAAGACTTGCTTTTACAAGAAAAATATCTCCAATTAAATTAAAAGGATACACTACAATTACTTTTGTGGAATAAAAAGTTTTTTGCTCATATAACAGATTCTAATTAAGAGTTATCTATTCCCTTCATACATCTAATATTAAAGAATTTTTTTTTAAAAGAAAAATATAGAGAAATCAAGCTTATTGTTAAGTCAGAAAAAGCTACACTAACAATTACTACTCTTCTTTTAAAAATATTTGTTAATGAATTTTTATAGAATTATTTGGCAATCACGCTGTAACTTAATAATAGAATGGAAACGTACAAAAGGAATCAAGAAGCAAGACTTAAAGAAAAAGATATTAGCACATCAACGTATTACATATGAACGAATTCCAACTCAACAAATAGAAGGAACTAGCAAAAAATTTTGATTTCTCTAATTTATGATACATATAACATAAAGGGAAGGAAAATTCTTAAACATAGTGAACAATGGTCAATTGCTCTTGAAAAAACTAGATAATATATAAACCAATTTATCAGAGAAGGAAATAGGGTGATTTGGAAGGTATATAATAATATCAAGATGTATAAATACAAATATAATTTTTCATTTATTTTAGAAGGTAGTGAAAGTACATACTGAAGCCATATGATAATAATGATCCTATATAATCTGATAGCTACTATAGGAGGATATAGGTAAATTTTATATTGGTGATGGTAAGGCATAGGAGCAATCTATAGAATGGAAAACTGGTTCAGAGTTTTAATAGATTAGTTATACATTTAGCAGACACTTCTGTACTTTCATATAACTAATAAACTCATGAATTGCACTACCTTGCAAAAAAAAAAAATCAATAAATATACAGTTAATTTCTTTTATAGGTATATCCAGATATAATTATATTCTTTTTTATAAACTTTTATATTAGCCTTAAGGCACTAATAAATTCCTCTTTTAAATCATATTATATATCATATATGTTATCTAAATTATTTTAAGCTACTGTAATTATAAAATCCCAAATTCAATTATAGCATAGTATTTTACATAGTAAATTACATATAAATTAAATGAATTATGGCATTCCAAATTATAATTACAGCATTTCAAAATAATTTGGACAGCATATATAAGTCATATTATATAGTATTTTTATAATCACACCATATTTTTTTAGTCTCAAGAGGTGTCATATAGAGGGAATTGACTGTATATATATAAATAAAAAATAATAGAATTTAAGATATAATATAGAAAATTGCCAACAGTATTTGAAAAAAAAAATTAGTTATTAACTAATTATTTCAATATTTACTTATATGGTTTATTTATTTAATATTTTTTTTATTTCAATTATTTTAAACCAAATAATTTTAGTATATCCCTGTATATATCATATTTATATATTTTTTTTTTATATAATTCTAAATCTTATAATTAAATATATATATATTATATATGAAATTCTAAATTATTTTTAGTTTCAAATTGTTGTAAAATAATTTACAAAATAAATATTTAATTATCTAATGATAAACAATCTAAATTTGAATCATAACCAATAATATTTTACATATTAATTTCTAATATTGTTGGACAATAATATTATATACCACATGACTAAGACGTATAACCTTAGATTTAATACGAAATTATTCTCTCGATAAGATTTGCCTTAAATTTAAATTTATAAAATATATGCAATCCTATATGAGAATTACATAACTTTACATTAGACCTGTACCTAATTATACCCCAGTTTTAAATTGTTATAAAATTAGTATTAAAAAAAAAAATCGATTTATTTACAATAATAAATATCAGATTTAATTTGTTCAATTGCAATTATGAAACGTAATTTAGTCATGATTGGATGGCAGATTATTAATATACTAATATTAGTTCCAAAATCAATATTATAACTTTTGCCCAGATTTTTTAAAATAAATTGACATCCTTATATGTAATAAAGTTTTAATTTTTGAAAATAGTATATCTCGTTTAACTTAATTTAGTTCCAAGTTTTGCTTACAATACCTTCAGTGTTTTAGTCACCAAACTAAATTTATGATTTTTACCTAAAAAAAAGGTCGACTAATCTGCCGTAACACATTAAAAATTCTATCAAAATGATGAAACTATGGTGAAACGGTATTATGAAATATTATGAAACCTATTGGCTTGGCTTATACCATGTAAATTAAAATTTTTTTTTTCAATTATTTTACTTCTTTTTTTTCGTCTGATATCTAGATTTTTCTGCGCCACAGAGATTTTACAATGTTTTTTTGTTTATAAGTTGGCTGAGTTATGGCGTAAGCACTGTTTAGTTTACTGTAGTCGGCATCACGGCATCATGCGTTTTATACGTTTAGATTATATCATGATGATAGTCATTATTAATTGCAATCTCCTCAATAAATAACACCAACAACCAGGTAATAGGAGATTTTTTTTATTTATAAAAATGCAAAAAAAATTTTTTTTATTTATTTTAAACTTTGCTTTTTTTTTTACTCTCTCCTTTCTTTTGAATAACTTTAAATTCTCATAAAAGAAAGGGGTAAAATAACATTTTTTCTCCTTTTTTTACATTTTTTTTTTTTGAGAAAAAAAAATTCAACGTAATAAAGAGAAAAAAGAATTTTTTTTTTTTTACACAATATGACAGAATTATCAACAAATGTATTTTATCGTATAATAATTGGAGGAAAAACATTCATTTTATCACGATCAAGTATTTTATATGATTCACCAAATTTATTTACAGAATATTTTATTAAAAAACCATTAACAGATGTTTGGCAAGATGAAATTAAGATATTACGAGAACAACAAAATAGTCAATGTTTATTAAATGGACATACATCGGCTTTTACTATAGGATTTACGACAACTTTACCGCCACCACCGACATCGACAAAAGAAATTTCATTTGATCGGGATCCTTACATTTTTGAAGTTATAGCAAGATATCTTCGTGGATATACAATGTCATTCCCACTTCCTTCATCAGTTAATTTACCAACTGGAATGAATATTGAAAGTTTTCATCAACATCTTTTAGAAGACGCAATTTTTTTTAAATTATCTCGTCTTCAAAGACTTTTCACGAATCAACAGACAATTCCATCACCTATTTCAAATTCAAATTTAACCATTACCAATTCTTTATCTAATTCACCTTATTACGATCCATTTATGAATGATACCAAATTAGATCTTATTTTATCAAATACTCCAATAGATCATTTGGTAATGTTGGATCGTAAATTAAGGTATAAGATAAAATCAGCTGAATACAATGTTCATCCTTTGGTACAATTTTGTACAGAGAATGTTATATGGGATATTTCATCAAATAGTTGGAATTTTAAATTTTTACAATCAAAAGATTTGGCAAAAATGACATCATTCTGTAAAGTTTTCATTAATTCAAAATTTTATAAAAATGTTTTACCAAATCAATTTGGTGAAGTATTTTTTAATGGATTAATGGTTACCTGTGTATTTAAAATAGATGGAGTAGAATGTAATGGTTTAGAAGTTTATAATAAATTCTTGAATAAATCGAGACAAATTTATAAATCTTCAACAAATATCTCAAATGGAACGAATATGAATATGAATATCCCTACTTCAACTAGTTCAACAACTCCATTAACAAATGGTAATATAATTAACAATGCAATGAATATTTCTAATAACGCTACTGAATTTCAACAACAATATTGGAGTATTGGAGTAGGAGGAAGTAGGGGAAATAACAATAATCCCAATAATAATAATAATAATAATAATAATAATAATAATAATAATCATCATTCTATAAATGATATGGATATTGGTAACAATAATAATAATTCTGAACAACCTGATGAAATTGTTAATAACGGAAAATGTTTTAGAATTTTATTGAAAAAATTCAATTTTTATGTACAACTTGGTTTTAATGAATTTAATAGGATCGTACCAATGTTAGTTATTGTTCCTTGTTGGGGTGAAGGTATTACTGAATATGAATGGTTATCTTCTGGTAACGAAAGAGCATTAATTAATCCTAATAACATTATTAGAGAAGAATAAATTTGAATTTCTTGTAAGTAAAAAATATTTGAATATATTTTATTAAAAACATAATTATCTTTGTTATGCAGCTATCATTTTTTTTTTCTTTAAAAGAAGGCAAAAAAAAAAAAAAAAAAAAAAAAA